AAAAAAAAAAAGTTTCTTCTGCTGCAGCTTCATTTAGCAGAGCCTAATTAATAATGAGACTGAGTGCAATCGAACCACAAAATAAAACTATGTCAGGCACCAAGGGTGAAGAATTCAGCTGAGGTCAAATCTGACACTCTTGCTTGAGGTATGAAATGAGGCATGGTTATAAAATGAGAAGAGAGTGAAAGAAAAGACTGAACTTGAGAAAAGAGTGAGGTAATATCTGATCTCTACACACCCTGAATACATCAGAGAAAAATCCTGAGCCAATCCACTCGCGGGAGAAGTCATCAAGGCGTGTAAGACAGGAGAAGGCACTGATGAGGGCTCGGTAGGATGATGGGGAAGACACCTGGAGAACACAGAAAAGGACATGTTTGATGAGCATGTTGTGGGACCATACCACAACTTTGTTTGGGCTGAAGAGGTTGTCACAAACAGTTTCTGAAAAAAGCCACTACTCTATAGCTAAGTACAGACTAGAACACTGTACAGGTTATAATTATACTGTTGTCCAAGCTCTACACTGGCTTTACATTGAGTTGTAGAGTGCACACGAGCCCTGTATAGTGTATAACATGTAACAATTTTAAACTAAACTAAAAACCAACCTGCAAAGGTGGAGCCATTCCCATCTCACACACTCCTACCCCTCCGATATCATCTCTGTCCTCATTGAGGCGTTCAGGTCGTGTAGGAAACCCAGCAATTGAGTTGCGTTTATTCCGTTCCATGGTGACGTGAATGACGGTGGTACCAGTGAGGGTATTATGGGTGTTTTTCTGTAATGTACCCGCATGACAAGTGGACTGGTTGGTTTTAGTGGAGCCGAGGGTTTCACGGCAGAACAGTATTTGCACAGTTTGTGTTGCGGGAGAAAATATATCACACACATAGACTTCTGTTTCTGAATCTGAACCCAAGAATTTTCCAAGTAATCCAAATCATCACTGCTTGTAACTGAGAACTTCAACCAGATAAGGATTTCACATGTTTGACAGAGGTATGTTGTATCCCTGGAGACCTGTAGAAAGAAAGAAAGAAGAAATTTAATGAGTAAGCTTCATGGCAGACTTTTTTTTCCCCTATGCTGCTGATTGAAGTAGCCATTGTAGCCAATGAGAGGTATAAGCAAATGCAAATTAAGGCTTTAACATTTATTCCCACTTGAAGTGAAACATAAAATGAACAGTAAGAAAAATTTTAAGTGTTTGAATGAGTTTAAGCAAAGTGTCCAAATGACAAAAATATTGTTTTCATAAAAAATATCTACTTATCTCCAGGTATCAGTCTACATTCTGATCATTTTTGCTGTTAAACTTCCGCCTTTGGATTTCCAGTGACTCACAAGCATGTTATCAAGCATGGTTTACTTCATCACTATTTTCAGGTGCCGAGACTTGGTGGCCCATAAATCCTCCATCTCAAGTCATCAGGCCTATTTAACAAAGATTTTTGTATATTTAAAATGGTCCTTTTGACATGATCTATCTAACTATAAAGCAAGACCTCTTTGATGCAGTCATGTCACAAAAACAAAATGTCTAGAGAGTGTCTGAGACTAAAAGACACATTTAAGACCTATGCAAACTGAATTTAAGTCAATTCAGTACTTTTACTACAACTTTTTGAATATTGAATGTGCCCTGGACATTTTACGGCTCCTTATTGACCAGCAATCTTACACATGGTCCTAAACAATAAAGAAGGAGCAAGTTACAATTTCATGTTATTAATGCAACTTTGGACTGGGTCCTGTCTCAGGGGGGACGAGACAAGCCAATATTACTCAACAGGCTCAAATGAAATGGCTGTAATAGGGGCCCATTGTCCAATTATGGGAGATTAGCCAAGGAATAGCTCAGGTCTTGGACCTTTCTGCCATCCAAAACAAAGTCAGCAGGGTACAAAGGGGAACAGGAAAGCACGTCTGCAGCTAAAGGTCTTTAAATGCCTGTAAACAATGTGGCTTTCATATCTTAAGAATACGTCATGGTAGCGGAAGATTTCTTTAGGTGATAAAAACATGTTGAGCCACCTTATAAATCTTTCCCTATAAATGCTGAAGAGTACACAAAAAAATGCCTTCCTTCGCCTAAGGTCATAAGCAGAAAATTTCCACTCACTGTACATTTCCACTGAAGACAGTTTTGAGATCCTACGTCTCAACAGTAAGTGAAAAATTAACCTGACGACTGAGCATCTTATGTGTGCTGAATAGAACATACACCTTTAAATAAGAACAGAGTTCAGTGAGAAATAATAACCTTCACACAGCAAATTGCTTGTGACCTGTTAATGTTAATGTAATAATGAAAGAAGCATCCAATTATAAACTGTTTGCCAGCTGAATTTAAAGATAATGGACTATATTGTCTATAACAAATTAAAAACAGGTATAACTTGCTAAGAAATGTTGCTTTACAAGTATTTGCCATTTCTTTTCCAAAAATGTCCTCCTACTTGCAAACAGAAGACTTTAGAAATATTGAAATAAAGGCAATGTGACCTGACAGCATGACTTACTGTCATTTGAGTCAACTAGTCAACCATTACTACTTCTAAATGTAGGTTAGACTGTGATTCTGACTTTTGTTTTGGGGGTTTTAACTTCTGAGTAAAGTTTAGAACCACTTTTTTCCCCACAATGTTGGACCTTAACAAAAACAAAAAAGCAGCAGAAGTCAAGTCACCTCAAACAGAGTCACCTCAAACCACAATGCTGATCCAACACTGCATTAATATTACTAGGGTTGGCTGGAGTTTGTTCCATTTATCCATGGAGGTCAGAAATTAAAATGATTTTTTTGAGTTTGATTTTATGGATTGAATGTGTTCAGGTCAATAAAAATATTTCACAACCTCAAGTTTTGCCATTAGGGATTTTCTGCTTGTATATTTAAAGATGTCTGCATCTACATGACAATACAAAAAAAATGATGTCAGGTGCAACAGGTAGCAATAATTCTAACTGTATATAAATGTTGGCCGATCATAAGGCTACAAACAATATCATGTGGCACAGTCTGACACAGGCGTACACTTTTGATGTCGCAAAACAAAACTATTGTTTCCCTTGTCCACACAGAAAGGTACCGGATGACAATGTTGCACTTTCATTTTTCAATGTTCAATGTTTTATTGCTACAATGGCAATAAAGATTCTGATTTCTGACTTGACATCTGCTTTGCATATTGTTGACCATCACATTGATAGGCTGAGATAGTAGGTTGGTGTATCAGGGTCTGCTCGCGGGTAGTTCTCTTCAGATGTGTCTGAATGACTCTTTTTTTGTGGCTGCTTCTAAGTACAGGTCATGCTCCACTTCTCTTGCCTACAAGTTCTTTATTGTTTCTGTTATACCTGTTGGCTCTTCTGCCCATTTTTAAGCACATTTAGGAACATTTTTATAACTGCTACCCAGCAAGTATGTCGCTGAGAGTAAAATTTTGTTGCATTGGCTCCCTGTTAACTTCAAAGTCCATTTCAGATTCTGGTATCAACTCTGCATTGACAAGCACCAGGGGATATCAGAGAACGTTAACATCAATATATCCCCACCAGGTGTCTGAGGTCGTGTGATCAGGGCCTGCTGACTGTGCATCAAACAAAGTAGACAGAGCTTTTGCAACAATTGCAGACTCTGGAACTCTCTCCCCCTGAGCCTGAGCTCTTCTCATAAAAAAAAAAAAGCTCAAAATATGAAAAAAAGGCTCTGAACTAGTGAATAAACAAAAAGTGGACATCTAATGATGTCACTTTGGGTTTCAGGAAATTGTAACAGGTATTTTTTAACAATGACTTCATCCTTATTCTTATCCACTTTTGCTATTTTAGAAACGCTTGCATAATGTTGCGCCAATGTGGAAATTTGACTTCAACTTCTTCCCTGATGTAAGAACAGAAAGTAAACAAAGACTAGGTGTTGTGGTTAAACGATTCCTTTAAGTATGGGTTCCAACAATGAGCTCATACGTAGAAGTCGGACTTCACATTATCGCTAATACTATAAATACTGTCATTATGTACCTGCCTTTCTATGTTTGAGAGGAATAATGACAAAAGCTTAAAACAGGTGCAGTGTTTTAAATGAATATACTAAAGAGGCCCATTAAACCAAAGCAGAAATGCAAAAGTCAATGTTGGGCGCAGATGAGGTTTCATAAGATCCTAAAAACAGCAGTGACACTAGACTCTTAAGAGAGTTGCTGTACTCCTACTGGACAATTTCTGAGATCATTCTCTGTCCCAGCCACATCCTTAAAAGGCTTTTCATCCTCCTCTTTCTGTTTTTTTCCCCCTAACAACGACACCTCATTTTATGCCTTGCAGAAACAGTACGGCAGGAATAAAAGTGGCTGTGCCAAGAAAAATGCAAGCCACAAGTACCAGGCCCAAGCGTTCCTATCTAATTTCAGTGGGGTTTCTGTCCAAGACCAAGAACACAGATACATCACATCTATTCTGTATCTGAGTAGACAAGAATAGGTCAGCAAGTAGAACATAAATTCTCCCTATATTCATAACCGAGAAGCAACAAAGAAGAGCGTCTGCATTCACACACCCACATTAATGGTCAAAGCTGCCCTAACTGACTAAATAAAAACTTCCCATTCTCACAAACACTTCAGACACACACGATACTTGAAAAAGCCTAATCTTTAGTGGGTGGTTAAAAAAGGATTTTCAGTCAGAATGATTATTTTATATGCAAAAGATGATGACAACCATAGTAATAATTTAAACACCTACTCATTCGGTAAAAATGAAACACACATCATTCAGAGTCACTTCCTGGCAATAAAAAAAGAATTCAATTATGGGAAAAAAAACAACCACAGCTGCATACTACAACATGACTTAGTCCAATTAAAAAAATAAGATCATACTACAGAAAGTTGTAATTTTGAGCAATACGATAACCCTCTATCACACTGGAAATGATCAACAGAAAATGTAGGCAAACCAACAGAGTTCATAACTATATTTGTTTCCAAACTATACCCTGTTGCCTACATATCCAAAAGGCGTGCACTTAAAAAACACCACACTAAAGGAAAAGGGTGGAAATTTCAAAGGCAGAATTTTTCTTGGGGTCTGTAAAATGTGGCTTGTTGCTACTCTGAAACAGATGGGGCATCACCAAAGCAGCCTCAGGCCAAATGTTTTTACAGTAGTTTGGGGGCCTGAACACCATGCCACTGTGTCTCAGTGGATCAGAGACTAATAGAAAATGTCAGCAATAAATAAAAAGAAAAAAATACTTAAGTGATGCTCTGATGACAGGTTTGTAGCTAGGATTAGTGTCTCTGAGGAGCAAGAGGAATTAAATGGGCGTGAGTGAACGTGTAAGAGTCTGCATACACAGATCAGCAATAAGCACAGACCTGTTTCACTACATTCAAACACAATGTAGAAGTTATGATAGTCTCTAATGATAATTTCTGTAAACAATTTTCAGCATTTCAGTAATCTGATAGGCCCTTTGTTTGGTGAGTTATAGATACCAACTAACTGGAAAAAGCCATGCAAAAAATTTAAACAAGGTCAATTTTAACAAAAGAGAATAGCATCATATCTGACCACAATCTATTACAGAATACGTGAGCCTATGCATACCTCTCATTCTTCAGAGTTTTGAAATAATGGAACAAACCGAGGGGACAGGTACTGTGGAGTGGAGGGGAAAAACCTACTTTATATACCTGAGAGCCATAAACAGCAGGAGTGAAGGGGAAAAAGCATGATTCATATCTTGTAAAGTATAAATAATATGCTAAATAATGAACTTCTCGATCAGCATTTCTTCTGTTATTTTAAGTGTTTTTTGGCCGCGACAGAAATGTAAACAAACCACAGAAGAAACAGTCAGCATTGGCGTGTGCTCCCCTCGAGTTCAGCTGACTCACCTGTTTTTATTTCATAGAGGTGTTTGCAGTAACAGTGCAAACTCGTTTTCGTGTCTTTTACCAGGTGCCATTTGAAGAAAACGTCCAATTAACGCCAAAACAGCAGGGTTGGAACCGAGGCTAGCTTCGTGACTAGCGGACGGGCTAGTTTGTCAACAAAACTGGAGCTGAGCAGAGAGCTAACAGACATTAGCCCCTGGATCCTGCAAACACACACAAACAAGAAGTTTCTCGTCGCGACGGTTGAAAAGTCCAAATTCCCAAAGGCTCAAGTGTCACAATCAATTCAGAGACTGCTTATGTTGTCCTTGTATCCACAAATGACCAAATGACCGTGTTTTTGTACCGCCCGGGATAATATTTCAGTCGATTGTTGGTGTTTGACAGCTCCGTCGTCTTTCGTCTCTCATCCAAGTAACTCCCACTGGCCCCGCCCACATTCGACTGGCACGTCTACAAGCCAATGAGCACGCGGAAATTTGCGCAAGCGTTAGTTAAAATGAGAGAAATATATCTACCGGTATGTACCATCATATACAATTTTTAAAAATAAGTGGAATCCTCAGCAATGTCTTGGTAAGTTCATTGCCTATGTTTCATAACAACGACTTCACCCTTATTCATTTATATTTCAAAGTATTTTTGTACTTGTACTTTGAATTGCCCAATAGCTTGTATTAGTTTGTTTTTTAAAGTTTTTGCTGACAACTCCAGCAACCCCACTGCTTTTGTTAAATCCATCCCATTTACATGTGACATTTTATTGGTTTATTAGCTAATAAAATCTGTGATTTCATTCAGTGATACGTTAAGACTTCTGATCTATTTTGTGTGGTCACGTATTGCCTGGTAAAATAATCACAAACTTGAGCACCATATATTTAATAAGTCTTATTTATAATGACTTTTTCTGCTCGCAAGGTGCTTTAACGCCAGCTTTTATGTACTCTCGTGGAAAAACAGCCTCATCTAATGGAGAAAATCA